AAATGCCTTTTTGAAAGAACTCTTTATCTGGGGTCAAGCTTATTTCCCCCTTCACAAGCTATCAATATCCTGCAACCAAAAGATAAGGCCCCATCATGATCATCATCACTGAGCCCTGTTCCTGTTCATATAGTCCTCCACTCTCATGTCTAAGCCTCATCAATAGCCAAGCATCTAGGAGATTCCATTGAAATGCAGTTTATTGAGGTCAACGGCTGTGTCTCTGTTCCTCTCAGTGGGTTTCCACCTTGAAATGTCCTAAGTCACAAATAATGAGCTAATGCCCACCCTCTGTTCCCAGTGAAGTGGGAACTGCTCCTACAGAGACCTGAGCAGAGCGCACCACAGCAGTTCCTCCTGGCCAGCAGATGGCACTGTGGTCCTGACGAATCACCTTTGTCTCTCAGAGGGTCTGAAAAGGGGACGGTGCACTGTATAGTGGGGTTGAGGATCAAGTGCTGGAATTCTGAACCTTCAACGTTATGTCAGTCCTGAAGCGGGTGAGTCAAATAAAACACAGGAGATTTGATGAAAGAGGCTGGGATTCATGAGTTAATAGGGAAGTACTGAGCACCAGCGAGGCTCTGAGTTCACAAACCAAGCACAGCCCTTGGAAATCACTTTAGAAATTTGACAGGTTGGGGACAGTGCTAAAATCAATTGTGGAGTTTCGTGTAAGTGTACATCTCCTTACAATTCAGTCTCCTTATCCCTATAATATGTATAGCATAATCCACAGAGAGCTTCACACTGTTCTTAGCTCACTATAGAAATTATAATTGCTTTTTATCTAAGCCAAGGTTAGTATGTGGTGCTTACAGCCCAAATCACAGCAGCAGCCCCTGTCTGCTCTCATTTTACAGTGATGAAGCGTGTTTACCTGAGTGTTTATGGCTATTGTGTGCTGGAAATAGGACTGGAGTTTGTATCATCTGATTCTCAATGCTCCCAAAGATTTTATATATTGGGAAATTCAGCTACTGGCTGAATAACACTTTTTAGATGTTCTTGGTCAACATACAGAGATATTTTCCGATTCACCAAAAGAAGAAATCTCCATATAACGATAAAGCCAAATTCTTCTGAGTGGAGTGGCTCATGTATGAGCAGCTTCCCAGTACCAGTGTTTGTCATTGATCCTTTGCACTTGTTTGTCCACCCTGATAGTTCACAAAACCCTGGGTCACAGTTAGCATGAATAAGCTCCTTTGATGGTCCCATTCTTACATTTGAACACAATGGTGTGTCATTGGTCAGGCCTGGTTCGTTCCTTATGGATAGGTCTCTGAAAATTGACCAGAGTTACCTAGTCCCATCTACATTGTAGAGACATATCAGAAATTCCCACTTATAAACCAGAAAATGGACCAGCATGAGACAATCAATCTTTCTTGACATCTGCAACTTGAAGTTCACATCCTCCATAATTTTGATAAATTAGTTTCCGCTGCTTATAAGCTGCAGAGTAAATGGTATTTTGTAAGGTTGTCCAATGAGTATGATGTGACATTTAGATAGGAGGAAAGCATTTTGGCACACAATTTATCCTACTACAGTCAAAATAGCAGAAGGAATATTTCATAATAACTATAAGAGAGGAATTTGATGTTTCACCACAAATAAAGAAAATTGTTTGAGGTAATAGATATGCTAATGACCCTGATTTGATCATAATATAATGTTTGCATGTGTCAAAGTTCCTCATGTATACCATAGATTAGTATAATTAGTATGTGCCAGTAAAAAAATAAGTAAATAAACCAATGTCTTCTATTTTAAAAGGAATACTGCACCAGGCACTTTTAAAAAATGAGTAGGAAAAATATTTTCAGACTATTGCCATGAGGTGAAGATTTTGCACTAAGGAGAGAGGTTGAACTCAATGGTTTTGAAGTGAAAGGCAAAAGAATTTCTCAGCACTGAGATAAGGCAGTGAACAAACACTGGAGCATGTCACAAGGGAGGTTAGTTAATGTCATTGAGCCATCTTTGCTCATTATCATTTGTTGAATTTAGGCATCTATCCCTTCTCAGAGACTGAGGGACTATCTCTTTCAAAGACATCTTAAACAGTTGTCTCCACATTTGACTTAATCTTTATTTCCTTATCCTACCCCATGTGTGTGTCAAATGTTGTTTGGGTGTTCAGTAAATATCCAGTGGATTTCACCCATGAACTTTGCATTATCTTAAAGGCTGTGAAAATTGCTTGAGCTCTTTGGATATTTTTTAATATCTCATCTTGATCTCTGTCCCTGGAGTTGGCATCTGTCATAGTCCATCAGAGACTGTCATAGTAACCAGCAAGTGTGATGCTCCCACTGTACCTTCATTTATTAAATGTGGATGGGAATATTTCATTCAGCCAATATGCTCTTCTTCTTAATTGATAGATGCTTTTGAGGCTGTCTGCTGTGAACTCAATTTTATACTTGTACCTCGCATCATCACTTCCTCAAATCCCATGAAGTCACTGACCTTGTAAGTTCTTATCTCTTATGCCACTGTGTCTGTCGAAAATTCTTCTCTACCTCTTCTTTTTATCTGTCGAAGATACCACATCTATTTTCAGATTAATATTCATCATGAGGACATAAATACAGCTCAGGGCTGAAGCCCAAGCCTAGCATGCAACAAGCTCTGGGTTCAATTTACAATAACTCCTTTCCCACAAAAGGAAAAGATTCACTGTTAAATCATTTTTAACATACTCTTCTTTAATTCTAAAGTCCTAATGCTTCCCAAGTTCCATTAACCATCTATTATTACGACATTTTTATTGGTATATTCTCTTATATTTAAGTGTAAACAATTTTAGTTAGTGTTTAAAGTGTAACCTGTTCTTACAGCTGAACATAGAAGCTTTTTAATTTTGTAGCCTTCAGTTTTTTTTAGTGAAGAATGGTGAATAATATCACTTGAAACAGAGCCCCATTGTCTATCAAACTATAGTCTTTCTGCCTCAGTAGGACTTCTTGGGACAGTCTATCATTGATCACCCCAGTAAGAGTATCCATGTACTGATCAGAAATACTCTATTTCCAATGGGTACTCTGGACTCACACAGGAGAATAGTTGATTCCAGAGTAAACATGAGGATTTTAGGACTCACTCACCTGGATACTTTATAGGGATTTTTGCTTACACATTGACAGTTTTTTGAGGGACGTGGTTGCAAGCTGTCAAATCATCAGTAGCTATTTAGTTGAGGGAAAAAGAAGTTAGAGAAGATAAGAGGTCACATTCCACAACACAAAGATGCAAGACTGGTCTTTTGGAGACACGGTGTAGCCATGTGATGCCCTGCTAGAAGAGAAGAGAAAGACAAGCTCCAGAGTCACACTCCCAAGACCATGTGTGTCAATAGCACTGGACACAGAGTAGCAGGGAGAGCTATGGCCATCTCAGCCCAGGTTCTGAGGATCTCAAATTGCACTGCTGTTGCTGTACTTTATCAGACTGGATTATCCTGCCTTACTCACTGACATGCCTGTTGGTTTATATGTTAGAACTTCAGCACACTGCAGAACCAATGGGACTCCAGGTTACTTGGAACACTGCCATCACTGTCTTCATTTATACCAGGTGTTCATTTGAGGCTGTATTTTTTGAGGCAGTATCAGGTTCTCACCAGCTTAAGGAAACTGCACAAGGTTCATGTCACAGATGTAGTTAAGGAATTGTTTATAGCAGCTTCAGTCTAGACACCTGACAGTGAGACTAATTAGTGGGACTCCTTGCTATTCTCCTGCTCATTATATCTTTGCTAACACTCCTTCCTAATGTTAGGAAGGGACTTAGTGTTATCTCTATAGAGCTGACAGAATGTCAGGGCTTAAAAGACAGATGTATGATCTGGGTCTTTGAATAAAACTAGCACTTTGGGAAGAGGTGGATAGACTCTCTCTCTCAGTCTTTTCTCTTTCTCTTTTTGCAGTACTGGAGTTTGAACTCAGGGCCTCACACTTGGTAGGCAGGTGTTCTACTTGAGCTTCTTTGCCAGCTTTCTTTTTGTGAGGGTGAACAAAAGGAAGCCATGTTAGAACTGGAACCCACCCACTTGTAGGTGACTTATTGAAAACCTTCCACCCAACCCTAAAGAAAAACAGGCATTCACCTTTAACCATTTACTAGACACTCCACTTCTGGCTTAGAAGGAATGACCTGCCCTTAAGCCATGATCTCCAGAGGGTCAGAGGGCCATTAAGGATTATCTGGCCCAGTGATCTTCCTGGGGCTTTGCCACCCTCCTTCATAAATACCCCAGTCTGTAAGTGGCTGTGGGTTCTCCAGCTGTCTTTCTGGTGATGACTTACACAGGACCACGTCTCCACAATAAACCCTGTACTGGCAATTGAGCTGTGTCCCCACCTGTCCATCCCGTGCTTTGTTTCATTTCTAACACTTTAGTGCTGAGTACCTTTGAAGTAGGTTCTCACTTTTATTTTCCTTCCTCCTTCCCTCCCTCTCTCTCTCCCTCTCTCTCTCTCTCTCTCTCAGTGGAATTGGTGTTCATACTCAGACTTTTTGCTTGCAAATCAGGCACTTTACAGTGTGAATACATTTTTGCTGATTGTTTGGAAATGGGATCTCTAGAACTACTTCCTGGGCAGGTTTTGAGCCATGATCTTCCTGATCTCAGCTTCCCGGGTGGCTATGATTAGAGGCATGAGCCACCAGTGCCTGGTGAGATTGATAGTTTCTTAGGGAAGTTATAACTCTGTGACTGGGTTAACTTGAAAGTAAAGATTATTAATTTGCCTCCTTGAAGGCATAAGTGAAAGTGAGCCTGATCTAAAAGAAGGCAGATTTAAGTGGAAAGAGGTAGGTAGAAGGATCAGAAACATCATCCTGCTTTCCATTCACTGTGTATCCTCAGGTCAATTCTGGAATTGATTTTGTTTACAAGGGCTTCATAGAAGAGTCTGGTACTTTGTTCACAAAGAGTTCCTACAGAATGAAATTGCACACAGTAAAGAGCAGAACAGAGAATTTGCAGCAATGACTTTATTTGGACTTGGGAAAGGAACTCAGGCACCTGGCCCAGGAGACTTAGCAGTGGCCTTCTGCATCTCCAGGCAAATGGTACACGCATTTTTACTTTCTTGATGATTAACGGCAGCAGAGGTTGTAGTAGATACCGTTTTGTATGCACATTCCAATTCTGCGTTCTGGAAAATTACATCCTCCCCTTCTGCAGTAGCAGTCTACTCCTGCTCTTAAACCTGGGGACACAGAGGAAGCGTTTAGCATCTAGTACCTCAGGGCAGCAGTAGGTAGTAGGTAGTAGGAGTCCTGGGGAAGGTGCTTTCTGTGTGGAGTAGGCTCCTTCTGTCCATAGTAGTATGAAAAACCACAATCAAGAAATAAATACGCATGGTGAGTGTGGGTTACAGACAAGACTCAAAACTCTTGCTCCATCACACAAATATGTGAACACACCCACACTCTTGTCCACTGTTTCTATGAGATCCTCCTGATAAGGTCTGGTATGGTGTCTACTACCTGCAATCTTAGCTATTTGGGAGGCAGATATCAGAAGAATTGTGGTTTAAGACCAACCAAGACATGGATGGCTGAGTGGCTCAACCTGTAAGAGTGCCTACCTAGCAAGTGGGAGGCCCTGTGTTTAAGCCCATGCCACCAAAAATAAAAAAAGATGAGTCAGGGTAAAAACTGAGTGAGACCCATCTCAACAAAGAAGCTGGACAATGAGTAATTTCAACTCTGCAGGTAGATGCAGGCAGGAGGTGTGTGGTCTGGGTACAGCCAGGGAACAAAAATGTGAGACCCTACCTTAAGATAACTAAAGCAAAATGTTCTGGGGATATGCTCAAGTGGAAGAAATCCTACCTAACCAGTATGAGACCTTGAGTTCAAACCCCAGTACTACCAATCCTTCCCAAATCAAAAAGCCAAAAACTTCAAACAGATCCCCCAAATAGATGGGATAAAATGTCTCCTCATGAATAATTCTACCCATCTACACTCAGAGAAAACAAGGGAGATTCTTCAGATTGTAAAACCTAGTAATGTTCACAAATATATCTTGGCATCAACTCATTGTAGAAAGAAAATTTCTAGCATTTATTTGTCTTTGCTCAGTGAGAAAATGAAGAGTCATTGAGGTGACATACAGTCTCCTCAGTGACTGCTCTAGACCAGATTCCAGAGCTGGTCTCCAGCCATCCCTCTCAATTCTGCTTCACTATCCTATTGGATCTTACCTGCATCTCGGAAATCAGAGCTTTCCACCCCGGTAATGGAGATGGTTGTGACTGGGTCCTCTTCCTCCATCTGTTCCTGGGCTGAAGCCTCCTCAACTCTTGCTGGGAGAGGATCACTCTGGGCCTGGAGGGCCAGCAGGAGAATGGCAGCAAGGAGAGCAAGTGTCTTCATGGCTTGTGTCACCTGGGGAAGGGAAAGCAGGAGCCAAGTGTGTGTGGAGTGAGGAGTCAGCTGTATTTGTGAGTTGACTAGGACAAGGCTTGGAGACAATCCCTGCAGCCAGATAAATTGTGCAGTCATGGGGAAGGGAGGAGGCATTCCCTTAAGGTCTCCTATGTCCCTCTGTGCTGACAGCTCCCATCATGACACTGGTGTGTATGTTCAGTGACTGTCCTCAGCTCAAGTTGATAATCATGTTAAATCATCTGTTGTCTCTTCCTATTTCTCACATGAGTTTCCAATTTGCTACTTGATTAACATTTACTTTTTTAATATTCAAAGAAGAAAGCAATGCTTTCATTTTCTAAGTTCTGAGATCAAATATTTCTAAATTTTGAGATTGGGTCCCTCCACTGTCTGGAGGTTTGTATTCTGAGATGAGACCTGGACTCCAGTAGAGTAGACGGTTGACCCTGGTGGGTTTTGGGACATTGCTACCCTCGTGAAGAAGGTCTCGAGGTCCTGGGGTGATCAGGTTCCTGCTGGAGGAAGTGTGTAGTTCACAACAACTTTAAAAGTATATAGATAAGCATGAACTTCGTTGGATGCCTGCTGAAGAGTTGGAGTAAGGACAAAGAATGTTTATTTTTCCAACTTTATTATGAATGACAATTTAAAACTGAATATATCTAAATCGGACAACTGGATTATTTGATGTAATTATGCAATTGGGCCTTTATCTTAAATTAAATGCATTCAAGACCTAAACACAAGACCAGAAACTACTACAAGAAAACTTAGAGATTAAGTTCTTAACATGTGACCTAGGAAGTGATTTATTGACATGACAACTGAGGTATAGGCAAAAAGGAAGAGTAGTCATGTATGATTTCATCAGACTACAAAACTTGTGCACAACAGAGGAAACAAACATTTGAATGAAAGGCAAACAAAAATAAGGCAGAAAATATTTACAAAACAACATCTGATAAGAAATTATCAAAATGTATAAGCAACTCACACAATTCAACATCAAAAAACAAATATGTAGATTTAAAATATGGGCAGGAGGCTCAAATGATCACTTTTTCAAAATAGATGTTTTAAGAATCTATTTCTGTCTCTATTGGAAATGAAAAGTAGCATCCCTGTGTTTTGAAGCAAACCTTTTGACCTTCTCATTCCCTAAGCCCATAGCTACTGTCCTAGAAGACACTAGAGGTCCACATAGAAGAACTCCTGATGGGGATTCCCAAGTTTCCACTTTTTCAGAGCACCCTTGCCTTTAGGGTTCAGTTGCAGCCTGGCATCAATGACACAACCATAGAATGAACTTTCAGAGTTTCCATTACTCACAGATGGTGGAGCTATACAGGTTGAGCAGAGGTCAGCAGATAGCAGTCCTTCTTCCTGGACTCAGGATGAAAGCCAGCTGCTCACTCCCAGGACAGAGACCTCCCTTATATCATGGTCACTTGCAAGCCATGTCTAATTTCAAACAACTCTGTCGCAAGAGCAGTTGAGCAATTTGGTGTGGAGCTGGGTCAAGCAGGGCTCCCTAAGGACTTCTTTGTCTCAGTCAGTCTTTGTCAAGTGTAGCACCCAATTATTGTTTCTTCATCAGTCTTCACACAGTGGACCTTGTGATTCTGAGGCCGTTTGCTAAAACTGAATCACCTGGAACACAATTACACCTGGTTAAGGCTATTGCAGTACAGAGAACAATGAATATGTAGAGGAGGATTGGAAGTCCAGTTCTCAGTTAGCCTTTCAAGGCTAGTTTCCAATCATGAGGACAATTAATACCATTTCTGCAGAGCCTAGATATTGAACTCATGGACACCTCTGCTTGTGATGCTGAGCAGAGCAAGTTTTGCTGGAGTCTTCCTCAGGAATCAATGTGAGTGCTTTGTTCTCTGGAGTGGATATAGGCGGCCTAGCTTGGCCAGTGGACTGCTAGGCCTAGTCAATTTTCTAGGACATTTTGGGTCACTCACATAGGAGATTGCCATATGAAACTCAATGTCTATTGGATGTCTTTTAGGGAAGCTGCCCAGGTGACAGAGAGATGAGCATTAGCCTGTCTCACCTGGTGGTGTGTGCTCAAAGGTACCATACCCAAACCATTAGTGGACAGTCTGTATGGTCACTGTAGATCCAGAATGACCAGGATGAAAACTGCATTCTCAGTATGAACAGACTTTATGTCAGATGGTTCCCCCTTGAGTTATTTTGAGGGAAAGAATTAGAGAGACAACTGTACATTAAAAATGTATGACCTTCTACCATCTTTCTTTTGCTCATAGTGATGTTAATGGGACCACATTTGGGGGGAAAAAAGCAATGAGTATAGTGACTCCCAAGGCAATAAAACTTTAGTGAGGCTACTTAACCATTATGTAACTGATTGGTCAATATGGCCATGAGGATGGTCATGCATGTACAATCACTCCTGCGCATTCTCACTGAGACTGGATGGCCATGGAGAATGATGGAAAGGGTGAATTTGATGATGACATATTATAAGAAGTTTTGTAAATGTCACAAGGTGACTTCAGTATGATAATAATAAAAATGAATGAATGAGGAACAAAGAGGAACTACTTTCTTTAGTTTACACTTCACACTTCCTCATTAAACTGCAACATGCAGTATAAAAGTAGTTCTCTCCTTCTGACCCTGGCTGCTACCCCAAGTGATCACCACTCTCTTGTAACTGAGCAAGAACATCTTAAAAAAAGATGCTTAATCTGGTGGGGTGGTGGGCATTGGCTAAAATGACTTCTTTGAGTATAGAAATGCTTGCAATAAAGGAAAAAATACATTAAAAAAGGACGATTGTCTTACAATGAGCATGTGATGGAACCCATACTTTATTAAAGGGATGCTCAAGGAAAACAAACTTCTATGTTGCAGCAAGCTAAATTTTGTGAACCAGCTAGACTTGAAAACTTGGGCAAAACTGATGAAGTCAAGACAGTGTAATAGAAAGAATGATTAAATGTACCAGGTGTCAGAAGAAAAGGGAGCACTCATCCTAAACCCCCAACCCACTTTTCACCATAAACCCTCCTGAAATTTGAGTGCTCAATCTGTCACTTTTCAGATATGTTCACAGTCATGTCTGGTTTTGGAGTATTCATTCTTTACTTTGTTTTACCAAGAAACTTTCTTAGTCACTCCTAGATATATCCTAAAAATTTTATTGCAACCCATGTCAGGAACCTGGTGTCCAAAGGCCAGGTAGACCCCTCCTCCTTTATTGGAGACTTCTCTGCAGCCTCACTGGTTCCAATAATATCTGGATCACAGTTTCGATAGGGTGTTATCAAATTGTGAATAAGTGACAGAAACCAAGGAGAGCTGCAGCATTCTCCTCAGCCTTTAGGGGGATGTGGGGCCTCAAGGCTTGTGTCAGGTGGTAACAATGCCGCATGAGCAGGCTGCTGGCACGTCAAAGAATAATAAGTCTTAGTCATATGGCAGCACTAACAGTTTAAATGTGGGAATTGGGCAAAGATGTTAGCAGAGCATATGGACAAATGAGGGCCCTTTGGGGAACTGGGCCTCAGATGACAGTTTTAGGTTCAAGGGCTTAGGTCTTTGCCTGTAGGGGCCCAGTGGATTTGGGAAGAAAGAGGAAAGTTTGTATGTGCAGTTGGGAAAGCTTCACGGTTGTGACACCTTCTGGTGGTCAGCAGAAGTTAGAAGTGCACAGTCTCATTGACACAGAGCACTCTCCAGTCCTTAGGCATTTCTCCATGGAGGCAGGGACAGTGGCTGTGGTGGGAAATGTGGTTTCATTTGGGTGCTGTAACACACAAGTCTCCCAAGTCCCCTTTTTTTACATAACTTGTAGGGAAGCTTCACAACTTGACCTAGGCTCTGTGGTTTCCTTACAGTAAGATGCATGACTACTAGGACTTCACTTAATGCAAACTGTGCCCACAGCAAATGCCATTGTATGGTTCATTTCTAGGCTACTTAGCAAGCATGAGCTGAGGGAAGCAGCAAGACAAGTGTAGGGGCAGTGGATGCAGCCATCATTGTACCTCGGGGTCCATGTTGTCTGTAGCATAAGAGAGGCTGGTTTGCTGGGGATTTTGTGATACCAGTGACATTTGTTGGTGCCACTCTTTCCTTCAACATCGCTTGGATTGCGGAGCTATGGGCTGAAGCCGCATCACTTCCAACAACAACCTCAGGGATTAGGTGGTAGTGTCTAAAATTTGGCCATCTGTGTTGGGGGATCATCTACCCAGGTGACACCCAATATTAGAAGTGGAGCTATGTGTAGTCTAATGGTTTTTGTAATCTTGTGAGGCTCTTTGTGGACTTTCAGATCCCTGCCTCCCTGTACTGCTACCATTGCACAAACAGGATTTCATGGAAGAAGCTTGATGGAAATTTCCTGAGTGCTATGGGTTTTTTCCATACTCACAAAATGCCAGTTGGAGGCACATGTACATCTCAAGCCAGGAATAACTTTGAATGCCTTTTTGGCACGTGAAGCTTTGCCCCTACCCACAGGGTACATCTGGGTTTGTGCTGCATAGAATCATTCACCAGTGCCGATGTATTTATTGGTGGGCCATCTGCCCAACTCTAAACTTGATTTGGCATTGTCGAGCCCTGGTTGTACTTACTATTAGTGCCACAGGACCTATTTAATAAGCAAGGTTTGGATTGCTAGGCATGGACCCCCATTCTGTGTTTTCTAAGACATCTTTTTAACACAGCTCTTTTTTTTCTTTTTTAAAATTTCTTATTTTTTTAATTATTCATTTATTTTCATGTGTGTAAATTGTTTGGGTCATTTCTTCCTCCTGCCCTCCTCTTCTGTCCTCTCCTCATCCCACCTCCCCCCTCACTTCCAGGCAGAACCCGTTCTGCCCTTAGCTGTAATTTTGCTGAAGAAAAGACATAAGCATAAATAGGAAGAAAAAGCGTTTTTGCTAGTTGAGTTAAGGATAGCTGTGTAGAGAGATTCCTAGCATTGCTTCCATGCACAAGTGTGTTAAACCCAAGTTGATTCATCTCCTTTTTTTATTGTTTTATTATTCATATGTGCATACAGTACAAGGCTTGGGTCATTTCTCTCCCCTGCCCCCAACTCCTCCCTTACCACCCACTCTGACCCTCCCTCTCCCCCCAACCTCCTCAATACCCGGCAGAAACTATTTTCCCCTTATCTCTAATTTTGTTGTAGAGAGAGTATAAGCAATAATAGAAAGGATCAAGGGTTTTTGCTGGTTGAGATAAGGATAGCTATACAGGGAGTTGACTCACATTAATTTCCTGTGCGTGTGTGTTACCTTCTAGGTTAATTCTTTTTGATCTAACCTTTTGTCTAGTTCCTGGTCGCCTTTTCCTATTGGCCTCAGTTGCTTTTAAGGTATCTGCTTTAGTTTCTCTGCATTAAGGGCAACAAATGCTAGCTAATTTTTTAGGTGTCTTACCTATCCTCACCCCTCCCTTGTGTGCTCTCGCTTTTGTCATGTGCTCAAAGTCCAATATCCTTGTGTTTGCCCTTGATCTAATGTCCACATATGAGGGAGAACATACGATTTTTGGTCTTTTGGGCAGGCTAACCTCACTCAGAATGATGTTCTCCAATTCCATACATTTACCAGCGAATGATAACATTTCGTTCTTCTTCATGGCTGCATAAAATTCCATTGTGTATAGATACCACATTTTCTTAATCCATTCGTTAGTGGTGGGGCATCTTGGCTGTTTCCATAACTTGGCTATTGTGAATAGTGCTGCAATAAACATGGGTGTGCAGGTGCCTCTGGAGTAACCTGTGTCTCAGTCTTTTGGGTATATCCCCAAGAGTGCTATTGCTGGATCAAATGGTAGATCAATGTTTAGCTTTTTAAGTAGCCTCCAAATTTTTTTCCAGAGTGGTTGTACTAGTTTACATTCCCACCAGCAGTGTAAGAGGGTTCCTTTATCCCCGCATCCTCGCCAACACCTGTTGCTGGTGGTGTTGCTAATGATGGCTATTCTAACAGGGGTGAGGTGGAATCTTAGTGTGGTTTCATTTATTTATTTATTTATTTATTTTTTAAGAAGAAATATTATTTAAGAGCTCTGCATCCCCTAATTAAGCAAAATTCAAAAATATTCTTTTTATAGCTTCTTTCCATCTTTTCCCTTTTCAGGAATGGCATCTGGCTTCAGCAAACTCAGAAGAACGAAAACCAGAAGCTACTCATCAGTGAATTAGTGTGGTTTTAATTTGCATTTTCTTTATTGCTAGAGATGGTGAGCATTTTTTCATGTGTTTTTTGGCCATTTGAATTTCTTCTTTTGAAAATGTTCTGTTTGGTTCACTTGTCCATTTCTTTATTGGTTCATTAGTTTTGGGAGAATTTAGTTTTTTAAGTTCCCTATATATTCTGGTTATCAGTCCTTTGTTTGATGTGTAGCTGACAAATATTTTCTCCC